CTATTTCAGTTGAGTAATTTCTAGCCATCTGATAAAGTAAAAATAACGCCTATAAACACGTAAAAGAATAGCACTGTTCCATTGAGCAAAATTATTATCATAACGTGACAACTTTGACTCAATTTCATCCCAGGGATAAGGTTGGACTGCAAAGGGTTAATTCCTGTTATGTTCCTGCTTGCATCTCATAGTGTTTCAGGTACCACTGGATTCATGTTTTGCCCTTAGTAATTTTGAGATATGCAGCAGAAATGTAAAAAATTAGTATGAAATCCCTTTTCAGCATGCAAGTAAGATTTCACTTTTGTAGGAATCCCTGGTTGACTCCATAAAAACTTTGATTAATGAGTTACCAAAATAATAAATAAATAAATAATAAAACCAAAATAAAGCAAAATGAGTGAGAAAAAAATAAGAAATAACTAAAAGGAAATAAAACTGAGGACATAATGGGAACCTTCTAACAGCATTTTCTGATCGATACGAAGCCTGCATTTATACCTGAACCCCCAAATTTTATGAGGTTGTAGTCATAACACATCATAATTGAACTACTAATAGACTTTGGATGCTTTCCCTTCAGAATATTTCCTTTCCCTTGTCTCCAGTATCTATCTCACTGAAGTAGTAGACAACGGGTAAAAGGAGGCACAAACCACAGGTAATAATCTCAAGCTGTTTTTATGTATATTGCAAACCAAAGAGGAAATGGATGGATGGTGGAAATGGTAACCTGGTGGTATGCTCCACTGCAATTTTGCTATTAAAAAATAAACAAGTAACCTTAATCATTAGCTTCTTTCTATTGTAAAAATGGATAATAGCATGGGACAAAAAATGAAGAAGCAAAACAGACTGCATCCAAACTAGCAAAAGTCAATATTAGCCTTATAACTCATAGCTTGTATCCTTAGAGCTAAAGTTAAAAGCTCTTTGCCACTCTTGACTTTTGATATTTACCTTTAAGTCTTGGACAACCTTGGAGAAAATCTTAGTTGAGGTCAGATTATGGATATAATGCATCCTGTAGTCAGGATTTCACAGTCAGTGGGACACTTGGAAAATTTGGAAGGACATCTGTGAAATGTCAATGCTATTTCCACTTTGATGTGGCTGTTCTTCAATCATCTACTAACTGCCCCCTAGAAGTGCAAATATTTTGTTTTTATGGAGCAGTTGCATCTCTTGCTCTACTGCCAGCTTAATGGATCTGACCTGATGGTTCATGTTTATTTTTAACCTCTAAAGTACAATAGAATCTCGATTATCTGTGCTAATGACAGGGAGAATGGTGCTGGATATTCAAAATTCACGGTTAATCGACAAAGGCACTTAATGTGTAGTACATATAATTATCATCAAGCAGCATTAAAAAGACAATAGAAACACTTTTACTGAAAAGGCAATGCATATTGAATGTACATGTACAAAGCAAACTGGTTCAGTACTGTCGAAAAGATTGTTCTGTTCTGCAGTTCAGTTCTGCGCATGTTTGAGGAAAAAAACCCAGCTGCCAATTTATACCAAACCAACTTGATCATATATAAGGAAGGAAAAGCCTCCTCTATGGATGAGATGAGCAGGGGTGAGCATTCCCCCTCAAGGAATTCTTGTTCAGACAGGGGAGGGAGGGAGAAGAAACCAGACTGTGAACCCAATGTCCTCCTTCTACCACATGGAAAGAACAAATGACTTTATTCAGAATTGACTCGCTTCGTTGACCATTTTCCAGCGATTTCTCCCACTCGTGGCCTGAGAGGTCTTGCTTGAGGAATTTTTGGACACTTTCTCGATGAAATGAGTGCCATGATAGGGCTAGAGAACAAAGCTGTCATCATCATGTACAACTGTATGGTTCACCGAAGGTTAATTCTCCGATACCCATCCCATGTCATCAAATTCCTTCCACCATACAGTCCCTATTTGAACCCCATTGAATTCACATTCTCTCAATTCAAAGCTGAGGTCAAGAGACAACTGGGTTCTCTGTTAGCTTCCATTGTAGATCGAAAATGAGTTGCTGCTCAAGGTGTGTCTCTGGCACAACATCGCAGAAACATTATTGAGAGAAATTGTGGTTGACACAATTGTATACCATTGATTTATGCTGCAGAGCATATTCCTTTGATTCCATTGGCAGTTCATTGGAGAGAAAAGTCATTTCTGAATAAAGTGGTTCTTTTTTATGCTGGGGAAGATAAAGTGACTCTTCACTGTCTGGCTTGTCTCTCCTTCCTTCTTCCCCTGTCTAGACATGAATTCCTTGAGGGGGAATGCCCTGTTCTTCCCATCTGTAAAGGAGGCTTTCTCTTCCTTACACATGGGCTCAGAATCAAGTTGGTTTGGTATATTTATTTTAGACACACGGTTAAGCAAATTCACAGTTGATTGGGTCATGGATAATCGAGATTCTAATGTACCAATGTGAAATATATTCCATGCTGAACAAAGCATCATTTAACACTGTCTATTGGGCTATAGCCCAACAGGTGACCCAATCATAACACCATGGTCTGGAGAGATATCGTTAGGATAAGCCAAATGCCAGAGATATTAATTTTTTGTGATTGTAAGCACTTCTTTAAAATTTAGGCTTTGAGGAGACCTAGGCATTTAAAAACTCTATACTTTAAAGGTTAAACACTTGATGCAGGTAGTGTTAGTCATGAAAGTTCGCATCTTCTTTTTTAGATATTCTGCACTAGCTTTTACTTCTGTTGAATATTAATGGCAGATTGGAGGACAGCAGGCAGTTTGTAAGAATTTCACTGAGTCCATACAAATGACAAGTCAGCTTATGACCTGAGCTACATATGGAATCCAGTTCTAGTTTTTGTGGATTTGGATGACAAAGAATTTTATACAATTTTTATACAATAAATTTTCTGAGGCTTTACCATTTATTTCAGCACTTGCTTGGTTATCAGAAGTGTTATGTGCTTGAGAAGAAAAAATTTAGCTTACCAAGATTCAAAGAGCATTTATTTGCATTACCCATTAAGTTTCTGTGGGTTAAACTAAAGAGCCCTTTTTCTCCCATAGGACTCCATGTATTCTTAAAGGAACATTAACTAAAGGTGGTTTCAACATTCAGGCCTATACCTTTCAGATAAAAAAAAAAGAAAGAAAACTGTGAAGTCAAGGAAAGAAGTAGGCATTCATCCAAACAGATCCTGAGCCCCAAGACTGTCTGGCCCTTCTTGGCTTCCATGTCGCACATTTCTCCCATGAAGGGGTTATGGGGGGAATGGGGAGACAGGGGGTCATATTTCCCTTTCTTGCTAAGACACAAATTCAAACAGAGGAGAAGGGCCATATGTAGCTCTGCTTTGAATGGGGTTCAGAATTCTCTCTCCTGGCCCAAGATACCCAACTGCTCAGTTCTTTTTGGAATTGTATATTTGTAACATTTGTTTGAAAGGATACAACTTATATTTCAGCCATGAAACAAGTCTTGGAAGTAATGCTATTCACAGAGCAAGTGAATTGCATTCCTTGTTTGGCCAAAGTAGTGAAAAAGTAAAACATTTTTTGTCTTCTGTCATTAACCATTTCTCTTGATCTAACTGTGATTTGTTTTTCACAATAAACATCAACACCACCACAAACCAACAGGCTGAGATTGAATTATTTCTATAATCAAATACAGAGTATCCCAAGAGCCCCAATCTGATGTAGTGCTATTTTTTTCAATGTCATATGCTTAGATTAAAGTGAGGTATCTCAACAGTGAGAAGACAGTATCAGTTTTTAAAAAGTAGCTATATTGTCATTGATAGAGCAAATCACTGAAACATATGACATTGAAAAAAAATTGCTCTATCGCAAAAATAGATTGCAACTTTTGGGACACCCTGTGCTACCAATGGCTCATTCCTAGCCAAGTATAGGTCATTCCATGTCAAGTAGTCCAATTTTCAAGAGGTTGGTTGCTGTACCAACTGGGATTTTGCTGTAAAAATTTGTGTACTGAGGATTATGAGAACCTGTGGTATCCAAAATTTCAGCAGTCTTTGAGATGTGCCTCCTGGAAGTTTAGAAGGGAAGGATAAAATTACCCCTCTGACAAATGCAATATCTCCAAAACTACTTAAGCTAGAGAGCTGTTTAATAGTACAGTAATACCCTGCTTAGCACTACCCCATATAGTGCTGTTTTGTTATAGCACTCTTGATCCTAGAGAGAAAAATTTTTGCTGAAAACCAAAAAAAAAGTAAAAAACCCAAAATAAAAGTAAAAAGTTGAGTCAGAAAATTCACAGCTTGATTCGTATCTCCATACATACAATGGTGTAATGACCCCTTTTAGTGCTGCTTCAGTTAGTGCTCTCTTTTCCAGGAATGCATCCTGAACACTAAGAAGGGTTTGAGTGTAGATTATAAAGCAGAAAGCCAGAGAATTATATTTTGTTCAGTGATTTTTTTGTGCCTCAAATAGGAAAAAGTTGCCATTTTATTAAAAGTTTGAAATTATTGCATTTTCAGCCTAAACAATTCATAATAAGAATGCTTATAGCTTGTCCATCTTTAGAGTGTAATTTATACTCTATGAGCTTAGGCCAAAAATGCATTTGCTTTGTTATGTTGGTTCAAAAACTTCCTATGCATATTTAAAGTTTCAAATTTTGCCCAATTTGGCCAACTGTGACCTTTAATAACTTTTTAAAAATTCCAGTTGCAGGTATGAATTCTCCACAATATGATAAGTCACTCAAACTCTTTCAGCCATAGTAGTTTCATCTGGTTACTCTGAAAATCAGAATGTTGGGAATTTTTTTTGCTGACAGTCTCAAGCAAGATTTTCCATCAAGTGCTTAACCCTGCCTGGATCATGTTTTGGGCACGGAAACATCTTTGGATTACTTGACATGGAATGACCCTTGTATCAATCAGGTGCTTGAGAAATAAGCCTATACTTCTGTCATGATAAAAAAAATATATATATTTTGTATTTTTTTTTGGCATGAATGGGTTCAGTTACAAAGGTCTTATCTCAATTAATTTTCTGTTACTTTTCAGTGATTGGAAAAAAAAATAGTATCAAATACTCCAATATATTGCATAACTGAATTGAGCAAGTGTCTTGGCAGGCTTGCCATAGTCCTGTTCATTTGCATATCATATGCCTTTGTGAGCATGGAGACTAGTGACCCACAGCCAAATGCTGGTCAAGCAAATGAACCTGTTATTGACACTTTGGAGAATGAGAAGACAGCTGAAGTGCAGACTTCTGGTGTGCTGAGAATCAAGGAAAGGTGTGGGCCTGCTTCATTTCCTTCGATATTCTTAGAGTTAGTGACTAGAAATAGATCTATATCCAGGATAGCTTTATGACTATTCTCAGCATGAGAAAGATAACCTCAGGCAGGGTTGTCCAGCCTTTTCAATGGTGTAGGCCAGATGCAGGTTTTGGGGTGCCTCCACAGGCCACATGCACAAATATTATTCTAGAAAATATACAGTGGTCCAAAAAAAAAAAACAAAGCTGTCATTTATGGTGAGCTGTCAATCTGATTGTAGGCTGGTGATTCTGATGGAATTCAGTAGGCATATAGGGTGACTCAATTGGGGCTTGTGTGCTGAATCTCAAATAAAAATTCCAAAACTCTGAGAATGGTATTTAATTTACTTTTTATCCCAAAAAGGAAGTGTTCATTTTTTTAAATTGAAAGTTAAAATTTGCAACTAGATTCATCAATTTTTCAGAAGACATATTCAAGCCCACTCCTTGACCAATTTTTTTGGTAAATTCACGCAATCGTTTTCCTTGCACCATACCCATTTTAAAGTTGCAAGTTTTTTATAGGAGCAATATCCTGAGTACTCAAGTGAGCTTTCTTCTTTGATGCCATTTTTTTGCCTTTGGTACTGTAGCTCTAGTTATCAGTTAGGTAACGTTCTAAGTTGCTTGCAGGTTTGGCAGGTTCCTTGAAGCCTCAAATAAGTGCTCTAAGTGCTAGAAGTTAATCTGTTCCCTGACAGATGGTAGAGGCTGTAATATCTGCTCAAATGTGCCAGAGCGACTTATGATGCCCATGCCAGAATTCAGGCAAAAATTCCAGGGTATCTTAAGATGCCACTACCAGTCAAAGAGTTAATTAATTATTCCTCAAGTTTGTCCACTTATGGGAAATTCAGGTGAAATTAAAATTCTATACCAGTTAGCCCCTCTGAGTAAAAATGTTTACACTATTTTTTCAACAATGCCATGACTACCATTTCTGCAGTAGGAGAGCCCCTTAAAGCTAATGAATGTTATGAACAGAACCTGGAAGCATGACCAGAAAATTTATGACTTAGACAGTTAAGGCTAAATGAAACGTCTTCTCCAGACAATTTTCTTTCTTCTTTTATGATCATATTATAATTGAGTCTGAGTGTCTATGTCTTACCAGGTCTATTCCTATTGTGAGTGCAGGTTCATACTGACTGCTGTGAAGCGTGTGATTCAGCCTCAGTTTCTGGCTGAGGAGGATAAGGATAAACTGACCACTGAAGATGAGTACCTACCACCAGATAAGAAAGTCAAGCTTTCAAAATCTGAGAAGAAAAAGCTTTCTGGTGAGTCAATACACATTCACCAGAGATTCCTGCTCTTTTCATGGATCCTATTAAGGGCCGTTGAAATGTTTCAATAAATTGATTTCACTTATCAATGGTTCAAGGCATCAATGAGTGTCAATCATGAACCATTGCAATAGTCGTGACCCTCTCTTTCACTCTGCTACCTGCCCCTCCCCTAATGAAAATTGAGAACAACAGGAGACAAGCTCCTCTCTTGATAACTGTGAGAGATGATGGATTCTGCTATGAATATGCCCCTCTTCCATTCAGTGGCATCAAACATTTACAGATACAATCACCATCAATAGTTCTGATTGATGCATTGATGTTTTCAAAACAGCTATCATGACAGCTCTAAACTAATCCTCTGAAAGATTTCTTTGCCAAAAACAACTGCAGTCATGGCCAAAAGTTTAACATCCCCTACTAGGGATGGGTTATTGACCAGTCAATTAAAAACATGTCAATTAACTGGTTAATTGACCAGTCAATATGGTCAACTATGGTCAATTTTGGTAAATAGGACCAACTTTTATATATTTATTTATTTTTTATTCATAGTTTTTGCACCATTATATATGTCATGACTCACAAGTGATAGACTAGGGATGGGAAGTTGACTGGTCAACATGGTCATTTTAGACCATTTGCAGAAAATAATGGTTATGAGCCCAACAAGAGGTTAGGCCTTATGACTATATGATCATAAATGACCATGTTGACTAGTCAACATCTCATTGCTAAGATAAATTTAATGTTCCAACTCATGCAATCTATAGGGTAAACAGTAATGAATCATGTTTCATAGCTAGATTAATTTTTTTTTAGGCATAGACATAGGCATAACCCAAGTACTTGTTCCATGATCACAGACTTTGGGAATAATTTGATGCTCTGATGCAGACTATTAGCCAGGACCATAATTGACCTTGCACGAAACTAAAGTTCTAAAGCTGTTACTTAGATCTTGAACCTTAACTTTGAAAGTCCTTGAGGCTATAAAACTTCAAACAGCAAGCTATGCCTGCACACACACTCTGCATCACTCAGGTGAAAGGTCATGGTAGTTTGAGCATTTGCTAAAATGTTTTCCTACACAACAGGTGCCACAGTCTAGGTGTTTGGCAGGCTGCATGAACAAATCTTAAAAATTGAACTGGCTCTTTGGTTTTAGTGCTGGGGGATAAATGACCACAGTTATGAGTTCTATAAAAATATCTTAATTCACTGAATTAAAAAAATTAGTGGTCAATAATGGTCAATTAAGAGGAGGTCAATTTACCGCCCCATCCCTATGCCCTACACAAACTTGTATGGGGCATCTTGTACATCTGAAATTGTGTGTGCCTACCACAAAAAGACAATGAGGTATACAAACAGAATTTCTTGGCAACTAGGAATTGAATTATAGACTGGAATTGAACTCAGCATTTGTGAGGCAGAATGTATGAAATCCCAGGCATCTATTTGTATCAATTGCCAAAAGATGGCTCATGCTGACATGTTTTCAATTTTGTGTAATTTTTCTACTCTAATTATAAATAATTGCAATGAAAGTGCCATTAACTTTATTTTTTATCTTCAGGTCAGTAAATGTGATGAATGCTAAACTTAATTTCCACCTCACAAAGGCCAGGTTAAGTTCTATTAATTTATTGATGGATAGATTTTTTTATTATGAATGTTATTTGATCTACATAATTGTTCAAAAGTCATGCCCAGTAAGGAATGACAAACCTCTTCTTTTAAAGAATTCTGACAGAATTTTTTAAGATAACAGCAGCAGAAATGGCTTGTTGGTGAAAATCCATAGATCTGTGCTTCACAGTTGAAGGCAAAACAGAACATTTCTGATGCTGCAGTTCACTGCTTTTCATGTACTCCCACACAAGGCAAGAATGTTGAATAACCCTGCTTATTCAGTGTAGCTTCATTTCAGGATATGTATGTACCAGTAATTCTTTAAATGGATTAATGCATATATATACAAATTTAACCTTATACATATGTAATTGGTATTGAATAAAACAAGCTTATAGATAGTGAGTTGAAGACAGTGAGTAAATAAGCACTGTTAAAAATATACTGGGTGTCCCAGAAGGAGGTACCCAATTACATTCCTTGAATGCACTAAACTTACTCATGGTTTTTAAATAAACTTACTTGGGAAAGGAAGGATAGGCCTTGAAGTTTTGTCTAATACTCAATGTGTCCATCACTTTTTGTACAAATTGCAGATGAGACACTTTGAACACTCATTGTGATGCGATGCCATAGGTCATCCAAGGACTGTGGGTCTGTAGCATAGACTCAGTACTTGAAGAACCCCACAAAAAATACCTTTTTGTGGCTATTTTTCTTTCACATTTCTTTCCCCTTATTTTATTGCACCTGAGCATGCATCTGGAGTGAATCATGCCAATGGGGAAGATATTCTGGGTATGTTACCTTGCATGTGCACTTGTGCAATCCCATCCAAGTGTGGAGCACATGTGCCTCAGCTCAATCATTGACACTTCTGCTTTGTTCTTATGGGCAAATGAATGTCTATCATGAGGATCACTTTTGAACTGAGAGTGCTTTCAATTGAACAATTGCTTTAGAAGAAAAAAAGTTTTGTTTACTTAACCTTGAAAGATCATTTAATGGAATCTTTTATATTGATGGTATCTCTCCATTGAACAATGATATTTTTTTTTGCAAGTGTTAAATGTATTATCAAATATATTGATGTGTCAAACATATTCATCCTAGTAATAGTAGGTGAGGGACATCCAATTTTTTTAGTGAGCTGCACTGATTGTTCCTGTCAAAGTAAGAGGAATGAGTGGTGGTAGTAGTTCCTAATAGGCTGAAAAAAAAAGAAGAAAAAACATGTGATATGATGATAGGATGGAACGACTGAGGTTTATTGGTTACCACAGTTGGCATATGACCAATGATTTTTTAAGTCAAGTGTATTGGTTCTGACCTATGACCATCACCCAAATCATCCCAATTTTGTGATTTTACCATAGAGTACCTAGGTCTCACCTATAAAGAAAGACTGCAGAAATGGGCATTTCAGACAAAGCCCTACCTATCCCTCTTCCTTACTACAACAAACACATTTTTTGGATGCTACTAGTAACCTACCTATCTTGCAAACCAATCTTCTTTTATTTTCTTTGATTGGGTCAGAGAATGCTTGTTGAAGCATCATGGATAAAATGGGACAATTGGATAGAGGAAGGGGTATGGGCTTCACAAACACTCAATAATAGTCCCATGGATTGCTCTGCTTTTTCTTACCTCATATGTGTCTGTTTCCCAAACAGTTGTTGAGGTCTCTACACTTAATTTCTCGAGGGACCCCCTTAGGTGGATTTTATCTCTAGACACCTTGACCTTGTGATCCAGACTAGATTATTCCCTTCAGCTTCCCTTCATCAGTGTCAAACCAAAGCATAAATCACATATCAACTGAAATCCTGAACATAGCTTCATTTTCTGTTCTCATGAAAGAGAAAATGGCTAATGAAGCATGAAAAAAAATGCATTTTATCCCCTTCTCATTTGTTTGCTTAATAAAACGGCCAAGGTGAAGCTGAATGCTGTCATCCATTTTTACCTGCACATTTTTATATGATCTTGGAATTTTTAGCATAAGCATATGTATTTGTCAACCATGTTTCTCTGGATCATTGGCACTAGGGAGGAACAAGAAGCGCCCAAGAATCATAAAAGTGCCTCGTTCAGAGAAGCTGTGTCCATTTCTGAAGGATATAACTGCTGGTGAAGATGCAGCCAAGAAATGTCAATATCCTGGTTGTTCCTTTCTTCATGATGTGGATGCTTACTTGCAAAGGAAGCCTGCAAATATTGGAGGGACTTGTTATAACTTTGAGACTTTTGGAAAATGCTCCAGTGGATTGACATGCAGGTGAGGAATATCCAGCCATTACTATAAAGTGCTTTTCATACTCACAATTCCCCCCTTGATTGTAGGTTTGGGTCCTCTCACATCTCAGAAAAGAACTATAATGTGGTGAATCCTGAAATGTGGGAGAAGCATTCTGAGGTGCAGCATTATTCAAATTCCCTGGCAAAGGAAGTCCAACATTCTCTCTGGAAGCACAAGTATAACTTTGAAAAATCTGAGGAGGCCCTCAGGCAAGTGACTCAAGCTAAGATTGAAGCTAATGAAGTGAAATCAGGAGCCATTGGCCCTGTCATTGATAGTATGGATCGAGAGAAAAGGGTCAGTTGTCCTTTTTACTCATGACTTTCAGCAGTAGCTGTTGGAATGAATTAAAATGAAACCCTGAAATAATGAGCTGACATTGGACCTAGGTTGATTGGAAAGGGAAGCTATATCTTGCTCCCCTGACAACTGTTGGAAATCTGCCCTTCCGAAGAATCTGCAAAAAGTTTGGAGCTGATATCACATGTGGTGAGATGGCTGTTGCTGCCAACATCCTCCAGGGAAAGAAAGAAGAATGGGCTCTCCTTCGGCGCCATGAATCTGAGGACATCTTTGGTGTTCAGGCAAGTTCATCATTACCTGGTACCTCTAGATTTTTGCTGGTGCTGGTGAGTGACTTCATAATAGGTATGTGTAATTCCTGTTTGATTTTTGGCTACAGTTGTGTGGAAACAATGCCAAAGTCATGACACGCTGTGCCCAAGTAATTCAAGAACAAACAGAGGTTGACTTTGTTGATATCAATATGGGCTGCCCCATCGACCTCATCTACCGGCAGGTATGAGGGTCAGGGCTGATTTTGGCCTCAAAGTGAATGGACATTTGTGAGGCTCAGACCATCCCAGACCCACCCCTTTTAAATATTTTTTTTTCTCCAAATGCTAACATTTATTTTTTGAGACAAAACAACCATGTGTATATACTTTCCAAAATGCTGCTTGTTTTTTTAATCTCAGCTTCCATTTTCACTGAAGATATCTGTCAGAGCCATATCTGAGGTACTGAGTAAAAGTTCAAAACTCCTTTTTTCATTTTCAAAATCCAACATACAAGATATAGAGACTATAAAGTTCATGAGGTTGTTGTACCTGGTATGATCAGAAGTACACTACATGACAGGTTGACTCTCCATGAACTTTAGAGGACCACATTTAGAAGCTCATTAACCAATTTTTATTTTTCTCTCTCAAGAATTTCATACCCTTGAAATTTTTTTTTTCTTCTCAGGTTTGAGTCATTGCAGATATAGTGCTTGTGAAAACCAATCCATGAAACTGATATTTGATTTTAGCATGACACAGCTGTGTCAATACACTCAGTACTCAGATACTCCACGATGTGAGGCTCATGTTATTATGAGGGCTTATCAAAAAGTTCCAGGATCAGCCTTCATACAAGCAAACTGTGTAAAGAAGTTAGGATTCAGAATAAGCCCCTTTGAAATGGTTCTCTTGACTTGCCATGCATTTCTCCCAACATTTATTAATAGCTTGGAACACTGGCTGTAACCCATTCTTGGCAACCTCCTTCAACATGTGGGTTGCAGCTGACTTCAGAATGTTTTTGCTGTCAAAGCAGCAACCCTCCAGAAAGGATTTCATTCTAAGAAACAGTGTGAAGTCACAAGGTAAAGGGGTCTAGCTAGCAAAGAGGATGTGGGAGCAATATTACCCCATGATTGGTTAGATATTTCATTTTACTGCTTGTGGTCACTGCAGACAAGCTCAGAAAGGGCCTGCACAGTTTTCACCATATGGCTTTTCAATGGCCATCAACTGCATTCATCATCTTCAACAGATTCCCACCATTTGAGAAATTACTTATGCAATTCACACATGTGCGAATTAGGAGGATTATGAGGGCCAGAATCCATTGAAGATTACAAATGCAATGGATGGCATTGAAATGGCACCATGAGGAAACTGTGCAGGCCCTCTCTGGGTTGGTCTGCTGTGACCACCAGCAGTCAAACACTACCTTGGCAGTACCATTAAATTTCTAACCAATTGTGGGGTGATAATGCTCCCAATCCTCACCTTGGGCCTTGTGACCTCACACTGCTTCTCAGAATGAAGTTCAGAAAGGTCACAGCTTCATCAGCACAGACACTCCCAAGTCAGCTGCAACAAACACATTGAAGGAGGTTGCCAAGAATGGATTACAGCCAGTGTTTCAAGCTCTTCACAAACAATGGGAGAAATTTATTACATTTCAAGGGAACTATTTTGAAGGGAATCATACTAAAACCTATCTTCAGTACATAGTTTTCATGTATGAAGAGCTTGTCCTGAAACTTCTTGATAAGCCTGTGTATATTCCAGTGGATCAAGTCCTGAACTGAAGTACATGTCATTTCGATTTTTGTCATTGTGTTTTAAAAAAAGTACATCCACTTTCAGAAATTTTGATATCTTTGGTAAGGTATGAGAATGTGCTACAGCATCTGATGGAATTCCATGGAGGGAAAAGAATGGAAATACTTTCCTGATTGGATTTCTAGTCCACACCAAGATATGGGAAGGGTAAGAATGAACATTCTTAGTGTATGCCTTAGTTCTTGCTTTTTAGGGGGGAGGAAGTGCCCTGCTAAGAAGACATTCCATGCTGGAAACTATGTGCAAGAGCATGAAACAAGTCCTTGAGGTTCCTCTGACACTCAAGATGCGAACTGCAATCTATCAAGGAAAAAATGTTGCTCACAACCTCATTCCCAAAGCAGTCACTTGGGGAGTGGATGCTATCACTGTTAGTTTATTCACTGTTCTAGACCTGATTTTTCTGATGTCAATCAGTTTTTTGTACGTTTTGCACTGGAACAGTTTTTCTTCACACATATGTTTACATGCAGCTTCATGGACGATCCAAAGAGCAGAGATACACGAAACTAGCTGACTGGGCCTACATTGAGGAGTGTGCCAAACTTGCAGCACCAATCCCTCTCATTGGGAATGGGGATATCCTATCATCAGAGGATGCCTGGAGTCATCTTGAGAACTCCTCTGTTGCTGGTAGGCTTCTATTTTGCAGTGCCATCTCTCGTTTTCTTTCTTACCATCATTTTTTCTCCACTTGACTTTTATGATTTTGGCACTAGGTTTAATGATAGCCCGTGGGGCCCTCATCAAACCCTGGATCTTCACTGAGATCAAGGAGAGAAGAGACTGGGATATCTCTTCCCATGAGAGATTGGATATCCTCCAGGAATATGTCAACTTTGGTCTGGAACATTGGGGCAGTGACACAGAGGTAGTGGACTCCACATGCAGAATTTGAAATGTAAATAGAGATTTACTCTGAGAGCCATTCTTCAAGTTCATCTTCAAGCAAAATATTCCAAGGATTGGAATATCTTGTTTCATGCACACTGAAAGCTGGACTAGCATCAACAGGGACTTTTCTGTGGGCTCATGATGTACATTGAAGAAAGTCATTTTTCATAGAGCTTCTGCATCCTCAGCCTTGACATGTCCACTACCATTTTCTGAAGCTCCCAGCCAGTTTGACAGGCATTTTTAGGTACATTTCCAATATTTGCAATATCTGGAGCCTGGTAGGATATGATCAAACCATAGACAAGACCATCTGTTGCCCATAATAGAGCACAGCTGATGCTTGAATTAGATCATGTTAACTCAATGTTGGCAGATTTTATCTTTTTTTTATCTTAAACTCTTCATGGTGCCTATGGTGGTGAATGCATTATATCATTACCTAAAGGTGAAGGCTTATGCATCCAGTTAATGGGGCTTGACCTACATGTACCTGCTTTCTGCAAATTAGCTCAGAATTGATTCACAATGCTCTAGACAGACATACGAGGTCTGATCAAAAAGTTCTAAGACTTAATTTTTTATGACGCTGTGGTGACTCTTTCTGACTGCTGATGGTTATATCCTTTAAACTAGTCCTCTTTGGCATCTACACAAGTTTTCCGGAGTTTCTTCAGCCACTGGAAGCATTGCTGACACTCATCTTTTGGAGTCATCAACAGTGCTCGCAGCACGTTCGTAATGCTGTTTTAAATGTTCTGAGATTTCCTTTCTTTTGCAATTTCATCAGTTTCTAACCTACCCTGCAATCCCGTGCTTCATCAGCCATCTAACTCGTCGGGGTTTAGCTCCTAGTAATTTATTTTTGTTCTCTAAACCAAAGAATGTGCTGATATGAAGGAGATTTTAGCCATTCAAAGCAAAATTGTGAATGCACTGCGAGCGCTGCTGGTGATTCCAAAAGATGAGTGTCTGCAATGCTTCCAGCACCTGAAGAAATGCCGGAAAATTTGTGTAGATGCCAAAGAGGACTAGTTTAAAGGATATCAGTAGTCAGAAAGAGTCACCACAGCGTCATAAAAAATTAAGTCTTAGAACTTTTTGATCAGACCTCGTAGGTGCTCTTACCAAAAAGCTATCTTCACTGTGACTTTATTGATTTTTAGCTAGCAAACAGAGGTGTTTAAAAATAAAAAAGAACAAAAAATAACTATCCCATAACTCTAGCCTAAAAGTTCCTGCAAGTCTTCATTCATATACAAAAATTTAATCTGAAACACCCTAAACCAGTGGTAAACATAGTACCTCATGTTTAACATGTACATATTCAACTTCCCACCAGTCAAGATGAGACAGCAATCTCCTCATGTAAGACATACAAAAATATGTTCAGGATCAGAACCAAAACATAAGATCACATTGAAATTGTCCTTTACATTTGTGGCTGAACTATGAATGTATTCTCAGATCTTAAGAGTTTCAACAGACGTGCCTTTTCGCATGTGCTGCTGGTGAGCATAAAGAGAAGTAAGAAAATTTAGATTTGTATTTGTTCAATACTGGGTGAGGCAAAAAAAAAACACACTGCTCGTTGAAATTGTGTGGTGCATATGAAGCAGCTGCAAAAACAGTGAAGTTTCTTTCATAAGTACATATATGCATCCTTTGAGCTACCCTAAATTTTTTTACTTTTTATCTCTAGCTGTTTTATCACATGTGTGATTTTACAAAAGTGAGTTGAATTTTATACTTGTGCTCGCACATGAAAGCTGACACAAGGGCACGTTGAACTTACTTTGAATGACAATTCTTCTTGGGGGGCCTTTTTCTCTGCACTTCAGAATCCACTGAACTCCAACTCACTTCGACATCTGGGGACTTGCAGATGTGATTTTTGCATCCCTTCATCATCATCTTAAAGAACTATGGCTCCTTTCAGATGAAATAAATTTTCTTAAGTCTAAGCTGGTTTCAGTCTTCTGTTATCTCTCTCCCCTCAGGTGAACTAGTTTATTGCAATCTCTTAATGATAGGCCTACATTTCTTTCATCTCTTACCAGGAAATTATTGGTAAATTCTTGTCCCACCACATCCTTTCCTGAAGGGCAGGATTTTCATGGCAGACAGATGAGCTCTAGTTCAAGATTGGTTCGCTCAACGTGTGCAAATCATTCTTCCGCTGATATGTTTTCTTGCACAAAAATAAAATTCAAGTTGTCTTCACATTATTGTTCATGTGGAAAAACAGCTGAAGAAAAATTTTAAAAGAATATTAGGACATTTGAGGGTATATAGAAGTCAAAGAAGCACACAACGCCGATTTTTCATAACCGAAATTCCATCTTTTTTTTCTAGGTCACATTTAAAGTTATCTCAAATTGGAAAAAAAAAGAATTTTGTAGCTAAGTCTTTCTTCTTTCCATTACGTCACACTAGAAAAATATTCCTGAAAGCATTGCACCAAAAATGCGCATTGAAATGTGTGCCCTTTTTTGGATCGCCCTGTATATAAACAATTGTAACAGTGAGTTACTGATGCTAATTCTAACTACATTCTAGATATGATAGATATTTGAAACTTGGTACATAAGTAACAGTTGGAAGGCTTCAGAAAAAATCTTACTTTTAGAACACATCTGATGACACTATTTTTTGGGGGTGGGGGGTATTATTTCTGTGAACTTTTTTTGCTGCAGCAAAACGGGCAGATGCAGAAAGTCAAAATAAGGTACATGTGTAGTTCTTGGCTGAATGATTTCAGTATAATTCCTCATATTTTTAGGCATACTCTTTGAGGGCACATATTTTCTGCCGAACTTTTTTCCCGAAATGTTTTCACTCCAACGAAACAGTAAGACATAGAAAGCTGAAATTAGATACGCAAGTAGTCTATGTTGATTTCATAAAATTCCTGCTTTAGGGATCATTCCCTTGGGACAAAATTTTTGGAGAGCCTGTTTTTCCTGAAAATTTTTCTCGCCAACGAAAAGAGCATGTATAAGAATCTGAATTTCGATGCATAATAGGTTCTGGGACTCTGTTCCAGAAAAATCCTACTCTCGGGATAGATCCCCTTGGGTGCATATTTTGGGTGGTGTTATCTTTTTATTTTTATTTTTTCGTTGGAGCGGAAATTTTTAAATAGTTTCGCTACAAAATGTACTGTATATAGGAATACCTTCTGTGGGCAACTTTCGGCGTAAGCTGGCAATCTCCCCCCACCCTCTTGAAGAAAAACATTATAATAGATTGCAGTTTTTTTTTTTTTACGTAGACGATCGTGACTTAAAAGTATGATTACAAGTATGTACGTTCCAGATATAATATAACGCTGAAATTTGGTACCCATGTAGTTCTAAGCATGGTGATTTCAGGGAAAATTCCATCAGGGACATTTATGGGGAAGCGAAAACCCTTCATACCACCCGCACCCCCGACAATAATAATTTAATATGTTTCGGTTTCTCTTGGAATCAGGCTTTGCTCTCAGTTTCTAACTTCTGACGTAGTCTTTGGTGGGTGAAAGCGCATTAGGCAACGCATTGCGAATTGTCGCCCAGTGCTCCTCACACCGGAAGTCACTTTGATTTATGAACGAAACTTAAGGGTTTGTTTGCCTATCGGGCAACAACGTGACCTCCCTAACCGCATCGCAACCATTCTGCTTTTTAATTAAGAGGGGTGTCCAAAAAGTTTCCGCGAAAATTTAATATAACTAAATCAGTTTATATCGCCACCAAAATCGGTACACGGAAACATCATACCTCCTTTAGCCCTCAAAATAATCACCGTTCGCATCGACGCACTTCTGCCTCCTGGAGGGCAACGATTATATACCCCTTCTGTAGAAGTCTGTATCACTTTGCTGTAACCTCCTTCTTGCAGCATTTTGATCTTTGCCACCGACAAAGCCGATTCCACGAAGGTAGTCCTTCAACTGGCCCCACAGACGGTAGTCTGAGTGGGTTATGTGATGGGGAGCAGACAACAGTCCATTGGAATTTGGCGATAACTCTTGTTTGTTTGAAACGCCGTGTGTGGGCGGGCATTGTCATGAGGGAGACAGACATCAACGTCCCATCCCATCTGGTTAGAGAAACACTAAAATTAATGCAGATCCCTATTGCCAGGCGTTTCAATTTCTCAGGAAGGCACTATGGAAGAAGAGACCTGGATTACGGGACGTTATCTGTCTCCCTCATGACAATACCCAGCCACGGCGTTCCTAACAAACCAAGTTATAGCCAAATTTGAATGGACTGTTGTCAGCCCTTTCACATATCCCTCACATAACCCCCTTCAAATATCGTCTGCATTACCAGTTGAAGGACTACCTTCGTGGAATGGGCTTCGTCGATGGTGAAGATCTTCAAAATGTTGCAAGGAGGCTACAGCAATGAGATTACTTCCAATCCAGGATTTTTGTGCGCTACCAATCGATACAGGGTGGAATTCCGATCCCGCTTCTGGAGTCTCACCCCCTTGCGCAGGAGGAAATCGGGACTCCTCTCGTCCCCAGATAGGCTTACTGTGACCTTCGAACCTTCAATTTTGCGTTGAAGAGTAGTGTTACCTTTTTCTTTTTTAAAATTTAATTGTGAAATCAAGGAATCAGGATTTAGTCTAATTCTGTCGTGGCTTCTCCAAAAAGGTTAAATACATGTGATTGAATAGGTTTTGTGGTTTATTTTCTCTCGGGAAACTAGGATGGACTGAATTAGTCATCGAGAAATGACAAGATAGGATTTTTAATACTCCTTTACCCTTTCAGATCCAGCGTCCATTCCAATGGACATTGCATATTCGTTGTTTCTATGGTTGAAACAACCATACACCATATATGGTTGTTTCTTGGGACTTAGCACCTCATATTACATTACAATGGACTCAATTATGCATGGATAAATTCCGTCGGAGGCCTTCTCGCACCCATCAGTTTTGTAATCTTCAGTTATGCAATTACATGTATAATATGGTAAATTTATACAAAATATAAAAAAGATATATAGAACATGAAAATTTGAATAGGAAAAGAGCTCAAAAAATGCAAAAAAAAGTATTTTATCCCAATTGTGGCTTTAATTCAGGTCTGAAAGGGTTGAAATTATTTTAAAAACTTGGAATAAGGGAAACCAGATGGAAGTTGTGTTTGTTATTGGCATTTAATCTATCAGATGGAGTATCAATATTAGAAATTGGCAAACATTTTTTTCCAGTGACCCATTCCTATATAATTCTGCTGTAGCAAGGTTACAATTACTCAAAATAAGCTGGATATTAAAAATGTTCTTTATCAAGTGGTTTAGAAAAAAATTTACATTGAACCTGTGACCACTTTGCAACCCCCAGTTTGAGAAATGTTGCCTAAAAATCTCACAAAAACATTAGTTTGGTGAAAAGTGAGCAAGTTTAGGGCTTGCTATCTGATTTTTTCCAGGGAGTGGAAAAGACAAGGAGGTTCCTGCTAGAATGGCTGTCATTTCTACATCGATATGTACCAGTTGGCATTCTGGAGCGTCCACCTCAGCACATTAATGCACGACCACCCCCCTACCAAGGCCGTGATGAACTGGAAACACTGTTCTCCAGCCCAAGCTGTGCAGCTTGGATCAAGATCACTGAAATGCTCCTAGGACCTGTACAATCAGATTTTCAATTCTTACCCAAGCACAAAGCCAATGCTTGGGGATAGTGTTACTGCCATGACTGTTCCCATTCAGTCCTGTTGATCTACAGTGTTGATGTTTGTTGACAGTTGAATGAAGATGGCATTGCCTGCAAAACATTGATTTTCATTCAGATAACTTCTACATTCACTATTCAAAGACACAATATCTCAATGACTCAAACTGTTCATAGACAAATCTTACTTCTCAGGGATCCACCATTCCTTGAAAGGAACCGGTGTGGCATACTCCCTAAGGAAGTTCTTGGTTTTAAATAGTAAACCAGATACTCCAAGACGCTTATCATATCCAGGTTGATACTTATTCCCAGGAGCCTGTAGAAGAAACAAAAAAGATTTCATGTACCCAGTGACCTCATGAGGGGAGTGCAGTATAGCTAAAGAAACAACATGTAATAACTTCAACATACCTCAGACCAGATGTTCTCATAATCATTGTAAACCATGCCATCGATCATCAGCTCAGGGACACCAAATGGTGGGATATTGAAGTATGACATCAGTTTCCACTTATTTCTGGTGAACCTGATCCAGGGATCAAGGAATGTAAATATTACATATCAGACATACCATAAGAACTTTCAGCAATCACTCATGTTATTCTAAATCTCTTATCTGCACCTAAAGTATGCCAATAGGAAGGTGATAAAACTCATCTTTCCATCACATAGAAACAAAGAAATGGAACTATGATAGAAGACTTGCTATGAGGGACATTAAAAAATTTTCAGCCTGAGGCACTTCCAGTTTTAAATGCACTTTTCTTACTTTACTTGCCTCACAGGACAGATGTATGGGATGGTGGCTAGCAAAATGTCATCTCATTTGCCAATGACAGCTTCTATTAATTATTTTTAGCACGCTACTAAAGGGTCTCCTGATGAGGTATTAAAATTGAGGCAGATGCTGTAATGAATTTTCTAACCTTGGAAGGAGTTGATCACTCAGCAGATCTTACAGTGACTGAGAGGATAGTATCCTTCTGATCCTCCCCTATACATTTTTTGCCATGCAAACCTCAAGATGATCCAAATCATGAATACTTAACCATAAATTATTCTAAATTATTATTTTAATCTGTGAACTTTATATTTACAGTTATTATCAAGACTTTATTAATAAACACTCTGCCAAGAACAGTACTGAACAACTTACAAATATCTTTTTTCTGCCCATTCATCTTCATTGGGGAGCCACCAATCCTGCATCTTTGGGTCATGATGGTCCTTCTCGTGTTTCTCAAAGTCAAGTCGCTCGATGTCCTCAACAATGTACTCTGGATCTCCATACCCAGACCAGTCATAAATGAGGACATGTGCATGATTGCTGAAAAAGAGAAAGATGGAGAGATGATTTCCTTGAAAATTTTTGCATAAAATGCAATATATGGGGGATTCTCACCTCATGTTCTTTAGATAGTCATGTTTGTATAGATTCTCAATAGTTGAGAGATACTCAGGAGTAAGGACCTTGGACTGCACCTCATCTGGGATATTTCTCTTCTGAATCCTCTTCTGTATTTCTGGCACAGGGACATCCAGGTAGATGACAAGATGTGGCTGCATCAGGTCCATCATTGTGTTCTTCTTCACCTCGTAGTAGTAGTTCTTGGCTGCAGTGACAATTACCCATGTACTCAAGTAATCACGAGCCACAGTTTCCTTCGTGGTCATACAATTGGGAGGGTGATTTCCCTCAATTTTTTTCATCTCCCTCATACAGCAACTGTTCCTCTGTTGGAACCTCAGGGAAGTATCAGCAAGATTCAGTCATGCAAAGTAGTCAGTATCAGACTAAAAAAATGGGCAAATTTTGCTTTGGCATTTTATCTTGGAATGCCAAATAATAATAAAAAGAAAAAAGTTATTTTCTTCAGATGTCTTCAAAATTTTCCAACCAGAATTGCAGCCAAAATTCCAACCATTCCATTCCAACCAAAATTTTCCAACATTTCTGCAGCATGTCATTTCCAAAATGACATGCTGCAGAAATGTAGAGTCAACTAGAATGAACTTGATCAGAACCTGAACTCCATGCTTCATAAATTTCATTATATACTGGGTGGTGCAAAAAAACATGTCATGTTTGATGCCTCATAAATGCCCAAATTGGAGTCATAAAATGGACCTTTCTGCACACAAGGAGGATGGAGTTTCAGGATTGCTTGAATGATTTCTCTACCTTGATGTCATAAATACCACTTTTTATGCCATTTCTCATTGTAGTATTCAACACATCGTAGAATAGTACTACTGTCTTACATCGTAGCATCAGAATTGATACCACACAGAATAATGAGAACTGGCATAAAAAGCAGTATTCATAATGTCAAGGGAGAGAAATAATTCGAGCAGTCCTGAAACTCCATCCTCCTCGTGCGCCGAAAGGTCCATTTTATGACTCCACTTTGAGTGAATATCGTTATTTATTCTGACAACTTAGGTAAATGAAAGTTTCAGAAAACAAATTTTGTGGTGTTTCCAACGTAATATGAAAATACCACGAACCTAGACCATCCACAATGGATTTTATAAGGCATCAAACATGACACTTTTTTTTTGCACCACCTGGTACATACTGGCATTCAAAAGAAACATTACAAGGTGATTTAGAGCTCACACGCATTGTAGGAGTTGTGATAGCATTATGTCTGCTTTTGCTGAACAAGCCAGCACCACTTGGACATTATTAGCATTTACTGGCCTACCTTTGAGTGCTGTGCAATTGCCACATTGGGAAAATGCCTAATGAGGTTTTCTCCATTTCATATGTTGAGTTCAAAATTCCATGGACAAAAAATGGGCTGATTTCATTGTGCATGCCATACCATCTCTGAAAAACATCAGAGATATGCCAAGGCTAACACAGCAACAAAGGGATGGGGTGATAAAAATGCTCCAGGAGGGTATAATGCAACAGGAAGCCATTCTGCAACTCAGATGAGCTCAAGTGGCCTAAACTGGATTGAATCAACACTTCATCAAAACTGACAAACAGAACACTTAATTGCTACATTTCTCAAGGTCAAGTGTTCTGCCAGCTTGTTCAAGAAGGTCCAAGATGGTGCAATGCATGTTGCATTACACCCTCTTGGAGCATTTTTGTCATCCCATCCCATTGTTGCTGCATTAGCCTTGGCATATCTCTGATTACTTTGGAGACAGTAAGACATGCACAGTGGAATGAGTCCATTTTTCATCCATGGGAATCTGAACTTTACATATGGCATGACAAAACCTAATTAGGAATTTTCTTGACCTGGCATATGCGCAGCTCTCAAAGGTTAGTGAGCACACGCTTATAATATTCAAGCAGTGGTGACTTGTTCAGCAAAGTGCAGATATACTGCTATCACAACTCCTACTATGCAAATGAGCTCTAAATTACCTTGTAACGTTTCTTTTGGACACTAGTATACTACATAGTGACACAACTAGAGTAAACCCAAGTTCTGAACTGAAATTCAGCTCATTTGAAATGGGTTTGTCACTTCCAATTGTAGTTGTAACATGGTTTCATGAGTAGTGTATGGCTTTGTTTGTGACCATCCTAAGTTTACATTCTCTCTCTCATGTCTGCACTAGTTTGATCCTATGAAGTCTACTATACATCACAGTCCAGTACATGTGCATCTTCCATCTCCCTGGAACTACATGCTCCCATGAGATTTATTCTGTCCCATGAGTGCACTTGGCATGCCAAGAGGCCAGGGTAATATCTGCATATTTTAAACTGATGAAGATACTAATTTTCCATTTCCATACAATTCTATATTTCCTTCTTCCTCACATAAACTGCTTTTTTCAAACTTCATTAGGCATACGTTAAATTTATTAACCCTTTCATGCATGATGTCCAATGAAGTGGATGGCTCTGATTTTGGTTCTGATGTTGGTTTTTCAGCCATGGTACACCAGAAACATTTGGAGCATGAAGTCCACTCCAGGGCACATCATCTATTTGGTGTTGTCTCCCAATGGTGAACTACTACAGCAGAGTACCACCTAGACCATTAAACCAAAAAAAGCATATTTTTGTTTTGCTATAAAAAATTTATGCATGAAATGGTTAAATAAATGAAAAAGTATATAACTAAATCCAGAGAGGTGATAGTCCATTTGCAACATGAGCATTGGAAAGTCTACACTGATGCTTACCAGCTTTGGTCACATATCCAAACTTATGCATGGCCTCCAGGAAAATGTAATCACTGTAGACACATCGATCCATCACGACTCCTTGACCTGCACACAAGAATGTCCACTTGAAGAACTTGCATAAAGTCAGATAATTCAAAGTTCGAGACAATTGCTGCAGAATTCTTTCTTTTAAAGAGAAATTACCAATGTTTACAACTGTAATTTCCTCATTACTAAAATAAAAACCATCCAGAATAAGCAGCATTGCACTTCTGAGGTATTTGGATCTGTTAATAATATGACAAGTTTACATAGTGGTTCCTGGAATCCTAGCATCCTAGGCTTCTACACCAGTGATGCTTCCTCCTTTTCCCTTCAACCATGTTCTCAACACTCTGCTGATTAGTTCTATTCTATTTCCTTTGGTCCAATGTCCTTTGGAAATACTGCATGTTGTTCTCTAAATCAACATTTACAGTGAAAACTCGTTAACTCGAACTTTTAGGGACCGGGCAAATCGTTTCGAGTTATCAGGAATCGTCCCCCCCCCCCCAAAAAAAAAAAAAAAAACTCACGTTAAGGAGCATAACCAGAGGGCGATTATTCCAATTTCACGACCTTCCCATTATAATTAGCTTTTATTCATCTCGAGTGAAACTTTTAAACTTCATATGTAAAATTAATTTATTGCAACGCCTTTCATCTGGGGCTCTTTCGGTTTTTATCCATTTCTGACATGTAATCAATGATCTTCATTTGCTTTGTAAAAGAACTTGCAATAGAGAAGTGAAAGTCCTCCAATTTCCCTACTGCCTCGAACAAGTCGATTGGCACTGTGTGAACTCTACGTTCCCATGCTTGGCTGTCTTCATTTTCCTGCAACTTGCTGTAAATAGGCGCTTCTCATGTGCACTCAAAACCTTAACTTTTCTGCGTATAATGGTAGAGAGAGTAGAGGGAGGAATCCCGAAATTCTCTGCGATGCCTTTCTTCTTCAGCTGGCCTTCTTCGCAAGTCCGAATCAAGTGTACCTTCTTTTCGAGCGTCAGAGTCTTCAATTTCCTCTCGAGTGAGCTCATTCCACACAAATGGCGTAAAGGAAGTAGAATATGACTAGAATGGCTCGGAGTGAGAGCGATAGAGAGACAGAGCGAATTTTTGAGGTTGCTTTTTTATAGCCGAAGCTTCTCGGTTTTAATCCTCAGGTTTAATCCTCTCCACAGGCGTCTGTGTGGGAGGAGGGAGAAGCAGAAAAACAAAACAAAAAAGACAAAAGAACATCCTCCCGAACGAGTTTCTTGTCATTCATTCTATTCAAAAATCGAAAAGTCCCACGAGAAGAATTTTCCCCCCTACTCACCCAGAATTCGAGTTAACCGTGAGAAAATCGCTATAGGGAGTGAAAATTTCATTCGAGATATCCGGAAATTCGAGATAAGCGAATTTGAGTTAAACGGAGCATTTAACATGGTGTCCTACGGGGTTCCGGCGGGACCAAGCTTTGAACTTTGAGATAAGCGGAATTTCGACTTATCAGGATTCGAGTTAACGAGTTTTCACTGTACTTCAATATGGAAAATTACTTAGAAAAAAAGGCATGGAAGAGGTGGAACATAAACCCACAACCTGGAGAATACTAGTGCATAACTTAGATGGAATCAAAGCATAAAATGTATGTATAACCTAACTTGGTTCAAAAGAAAGTTCCCAATTCTGTCTACTTGCAGACCAAATGTGATATGAGACATCAAGTGGAAAAGTAAAGAATATCACATACAATTTGTGTAAGTGATTTCAGGCAAACTTCAGTGAAATTGGTTCTTAAGAACCAGAGAAACAGATTTATTCCCATGCAAATTTCAAAAGAGGAAATGTTGTGGGAGCATTAACTCTGGACACTTGCTTCATTGATTATGTGTCTTGCCTTCAAGGCCAGCTGTCTTGTGACTGCAGACAGACACACAAATTTGATATTCTGCTGGGGAAGAAGTTATCACTAATGTTCTGAATGACCAATTTAATTAAAATTTTTGGAAAACCACCAAAAACATGTTATACATGATACAAGGTGTCTGAAAAAAGTTTCCAACTCTACATCCCTGCAATTCAAGCACCATGTCAAATACTAGAAGGAAAATTTGCAGGACATTACATTCAAAATATGTAAGTGAATTAAAAAATGATCAATTTAGGGACCCTTGAAATTATTTTTTTCCTCATATAGTGTGAAATGAGCAAGTGCCTGAATCTGCTTGCTCAACTGGACAGACAAAGGGTAAGTCACATAGTATGTACCTGTGCACACACATTGTGAGCAAATGACTAAGGTTCACTCACTCATGTATTCATAACATTACACAGAAAAAATGCTGTTACTCAGATTCTTAGAAACCAATTTCATTAACATTTTTTAAATTTGGAGGTGCTCCACAATACAATAATCTGACAGTTCATTCCATACTATTTTTGGAATGCAGCCAAGGGAAAAAGGGGATCAGCTACCTCAGAAGAAAGTTACCAAAAAGGGACAACTAAGTAAATCCAGATTATTTCTAACAGAAACTGGTTCTTCAGTAGGATACTCTACCTTCTGAAGAAAAAGCAAAAAATTAACTAATCTTGTGTCTACATCCAGCAAAGAAGCTTGCCAGACTATGAAGAATTACCAGCACAGGAGAGATTTTCTCACAAAATATCATTCTCCATTCTTTTTTTTATCAAACAGTGCCAAAACTATAGCACAAAAAAATTCAAAGAGTCCCACCTGTATTCATAATGTGAGCTAGAGAATCCACATATTGGTTGTATCGTATAATATTCATACTATGCTGAAGGAAGAACGCATGCTTATGATGTGGATTTTTGTTGAAATCAGCCACAGTGAAGCTTCTTGTATCTGGGGGAAGTGCAGGATCAAGCTGCTTGGTATCAAACCCTGCAGTATTGATATAAACCATGTCCATATGAGCTGCAGGAACATACAGCATCTCAAGCTCTTCAGCAAGTGCCTTGGCAACATTTGCCTTCCCAGCAGCAACATTTCCCTCAACAACAACCAGCTTTGTGTTTTCATCAAAGCGCTCAGTAGTCATATCCCAGAAAGCATGCCATGCACGGTATTTCTTTGTTCGATAAGGGAATGGAGCTGGTTTCTTGATGGATTTGTCTCTGATGTTCTTCCCTGCAATCCCAGCACTTTGCACATGAGCAACAAGAGGAGACAGGGCTAATGCACGACACAGGGTCACAGGAGATGCCCAACTCCCTGCCAAAGGCCTGACACAAAGGCCCAGCCCAACTGATGCCTTCAAACTGATTGCAGCAGCCATACTGGAAGGTGTTTAGTATTGATTGGTACAGAAGGATCTGATGATCAATAATGCTCTCAACTCCAGCCCCTTCTGGGAAATGGAGGTTTTACATACATCTCACAATGCCAGGCCTGGCATACAGGCCCAGCATGAAAAGTCACTCTGTAAAAAATGAGAAACATTCAATAGAATGACAACCTCCACATTCACAAAGGGCCTACCCAATCAATCACAGTGCACACAATTTAGATGTGTAATAAAACCAGTTTTGAATCAATGTATGCATAATGCACCCATAGATTCATTCATAAGACACTTAATGTTGGAATATAGGATCCATCCAGACATGGTTATACATTGGTAACAATGACAAAATGGTAGTAACTATTGGCACCACTGTAACTAAATTGTCCTGTCTAATGGAAAGAAAAGTAATTAGGTTGAAAATAGTCCATGACCTTGTTCTATTCTCTACTTTAGAGGAGGGTTCAAAAAGTATTATCTCATTGAATCAGACAAAAAAAATGTAAAAATATAAAAAAGGCCTTAATACACCAATCCAAAAAAAACAGTGGTGGAGAGGTAGCAGATGGGATGATCCCTTCCAACTTTCCTTGATCACTCTATCAAAACTCCTACAAGAATTGCCTTGTATCCTAAATCAAGGAGAAATAAGAGACCTTCCAACCATAAGAAATTGGCATGATTGGTGCATGAAATTTCAGGCAAAGAATGAGGAAAGAGAGGGCAATATCCACTCAAGCTTCAGGAGAGAGCTATTTTTTCTTGGAAAGTCCTAAATAAAACCTAATTGTGCTAATACGCACAATTAGGTTTTATTTAGGACTGTACCAAAGGCAAATAATGACTTAAAACCTATCAGCTGGTGCCAGTACCAATGCTGATGGTGACAAGTAGAAAATAAGTGAGGAACCATGATATTAAATATTTGTTTCAAATAGACGTATGAGAAAGCTATATTCAATTTTTTAATGGCTGTTGCAAAAACATCAATATATCAATTTAACTATAGATAGTGTATCGATGCACCAGGGGAAGGGGGGGGGGGGGGTTCAATCATTTCTCATTGCAATTGGGTAGAGATTTGACTTATGTCATCTCTTGCCTCTAACTTGATCAGGGTGCAGACCTCTTTCTGTCTTCTATCACCTCTCATCTGCGATTGGGGAGTGGGGAGGAGAGGTGTGACCTTGACAATAGGCAATATAGCCAACAGTGCCTCCAACATTGACAGATGCATTGGGATGGCCTTACTTTTTTCCTATTACTGTCAAGAATTATTTACTGAGCCTGTTCATGTGATTTTTTTTTTCTCTGTTCTTTTTTGCACATCAGCACCAGCAGCTTGCAAACCTGCTGATGGCACCAATGATGCCATACCAGTACCCAGAGTTCACACTAGTTTTTTTAAATCTTGAGTCCTGGCACCTAGCTTCAGCTCAGTGGGAACATGTTCAGGTGGTTGTCAATGAGTCCCACGGGCTTAGGTGTTTTGCAAATATGAGTCGCTCCAAGAAAATATGAGTCAGGGACTCACTATAGCGAATTAACATGAACCCTGAGTACCTGATACTGGTGGCTGCTAATGCATTGGTACAGCCCTAGTTATAATCTGCGCTGCCTGCAACAGATATCGTGTGCCCAATCAAAGCCAGCTAGCTAAAAGACCATTTTGTCCAATTCTGGGTTCAAATATAAATGCAAAATTTAGAAAAGAGTTCAATACACTTTTCAGTTACAAAAGAAATAGCATGGATTTTTAATGGGATGGTACACAGATAAATCTAAATCATTAATTGTATGGAAATTTACAAGTTTTCCAGGAATAATGGAGAGCATGCAAACTCTGCAAAATGACAGTTTTACTTCAAAAATATTGAAATTTCCAGGGAACTAAACTTTTATTGGCATTTCTAACTTAAAGTTACATTTTTTAGCTTCACTCTGAGTCCATGACTTTAATCCTTTCATGGCTGAATTAAGAAAACATATAACTAGGAAATTTTTTCACATTTTCTATTGAACAGGCCTAGCTAAAGACAGAGCTTGCAGAAAATGTCAAATATTTACTCAATATATTCAAAAACTGAATTTTTTAATTACAAAAATCATTAACCGAAAATATTGAATAACAGGCCATAGTTCACACATGGGGAGCCCCTAAAACTTGGCCTTTGTCCCAATTTTATACATCCATTCTTGCAGCATGCAATATTTTTCCATTTAAAAAAAAAAAAGGAAAAAAAATTCTATTTTTTCATCCAAAATTCCATTTCACAAAAAATCAAACCTATCAGGTCACAACTTTTCTTTTTGATCCAGCTTGCCTGAGCTACAACCTATTTGAATTAATGATGCATCACCGAAGAGCCCTTTTCGAGAGCTATTAAGTGGTACCATATGAAACAGGTTTTGTTCAATGGTAATTGCAAGAGCAGTCTCAAAAGATATGATCCTTATAATGATCATATGCCATGAAAGGGTTAAGGTGTCTCACACTTGATTTGACCTAAAGTGAAAAATTTTAGTGTGACTGGTGTGGGCCATAACCTTAGAGAATCTCAGGTTATGGTCCACAGGAATCTATTTAACCAATTTTGAGATGGCACTGAATCACACCCTGATGGAACCTTGTGGACAATGGCACTCCTATGTTTAAGTCTGTACATAGGAGGGTAAGCAGTGACAGGGGTTGCACTAGGTTTCTTGCTGTAGGGGTCCCCAGGACCCTCAGATTTGATATGGAAGGGGCCCTGATAATTAAGGGGGTTACTTTCCAAGTGAAGCACAAGAGAATCTTGAAGGGTTCCCCAAAAGTAAAATTCCAGTAATCCATGTGTATTTGCTGAGTTAACATAATCAAGCAGTATTATATTCAATCCAGCAGTCTTGGGCCTTCTGCCTGTACGTCCTGGGGGTCCCAGGACCCCTGGGATGCATGGGCAGGAGGTCAGGGCAAGAATCTTAGTGTAACTCGTGTGAGTTAGGCCTAAACTGCAATCGGTTGAATTGAAAAACCCAAAGGTGTGCTTCAGGACAAGGTCTGATACATATAGAAGAAGCTCCAAAGTGAATGCAAGTTGGCACATTGGCTTGTATATTTTAAGCAGCATGGGAAATGGTTCAGGTTATAAAAAAAAAAGGGGGTCCATGCTACCTTGGAGACAGTGTAGAGCCACTCCAGGACCAAAATGCTCAAGTGAATCAATATGTCCAGAACCTTTGAGGGAATTCAGTATGAGGACAATGATTTGCAACTGTAGATACCTCAAATCATGCAAGGGTAGGTCTAAACTCTCAATTAGGCCTAGTGTCGCTTTTTCCTTTTCTGGAGGCTTAGGACAGCAGTCTTCCTACTTTTCAAGCAAAGACACAATTTTGGAGTAGCACACCAGGGCGTAAGAAGCAGTTGATTTTGCTGAGTCTCTAATTCTCAACTATCTCAGCCATTGAAGTGATAAGCGGGTAAGCCGCGTTCGCTCTCAATCGGATTGGGGCTGTCGTTGAGCTAAAGATAGGGCTTCCCAAGAAAAAGTACTAGTTCCGAATGAGTCAACCCCAAGAGTCTCCACAGAAACCCGTCCTTGGGCTTGACCTCGTCAGAATGGATAAGACTAAGTAAAAAAGAAAATAAAACAAGACCGTTGAAGTGAGCAGCCATGTTCTGGAATGACGTCAGATCGTGATCCTTACGATACATTTTCGATTGGGAAGGGGTTCCACACCCTGTAGGTAGAGAAAAACTTGTTCAATTGGGACTGAGTTCATTCGCAACCTGTGTTGATCTGGGTTTGGAAACTTATGAATGATCTCGGTGTCCTGGCGTTCATCTACGGTGGCCTTCGCGAAGGGAACAGGACTGATGACATCACCATTTGTTGAAACCAGCCAATATAGAATTCTATTGGGCACAAGTTCCCATTTGTTCTCGTGGAATTCCTACCCAAGTTAAAGCAGTATGATATTCAAAAGTGATCTCATCTCAAAAGTGTTCTCATCAAAACAAAGAATGCAGATAGTGCACGGTCTACTAAAGACAGGGCAATATGGAATGGAGCCGGGAATCCCTATACCCTAAGGCGAATTTAAAACGCATCATGTCACCTAAACGGTATGTAGTGTGTCCGAAGTCCACGTTTTCGTTCTGCTACCCTTCACAGTTGGTGCGAATTTTTTAAACCGTTGAAATTCTCGATACGGTCTGATAAAACGAAGAGAGTTCTCGTGAAGCGTTCGTGTTGTTCGTGTGCGTTTTTTTTCGTTTTACTTTCTCGCTATGGCCGTTCTTTTTCATTTTTCTTGATTTTTCTTCCTTCTCGTTTAACTCGTGATTCTTCGACGTCGTGTGATATGACTTTTTTTTTTTTTTAGCGGAATTGGTGGTCGAACTAATAACTCTGTTAGATTCTATTCACTTCCAGAAAATTGTAGCAGGGATTTTAATTCAGTTTGGTACCAAACATACATGCAACCAAGGATGAACCGATTCCGAGTCGCTGCGAAATAAAAATCATAAGTACTTCCGGTTCAAGCATAAGTGAAATACATGAGCAAAACTCACGAACCTATCGGAACCTATTGATTCAAAGGGAAATGAAACTCAAATTCGCTACCCATTGTAAATGCAGCGAGGGTAGAAAAAGTTGCCCTTCAACGTGAAAATTATCCGAATTCCTTCCTGAGCAAGGAGGAATACAGCATGAAGGAGAAAGAGTCGTATTACTGCTAGCCGCGATCAGATCCTCTTTCGGAGGGTTCGTGATCCTGCGAAAATAAAAATGGCTCGAACCACTTTGAGACATCGAATCGTTTAGAAATCCGTGTAATCCGGTGCCACACGGCATCAGCAGACGGGAGTACATGCACTCATGTCTTCTCGGTCCTCGCTGATCATTACGTTGCCCCTCACGTATCGGCATTTAGTTTGGGCCTTCCTGCTCTATGAACGCCCGAGTCGGAAAATCCAACGTTGCATTTTCTCTCAAATGCGGCAATAA